AGTGGCATAGTGACAATCGCCAGTGGGATAGTTATACTCAATAGTGGCATAGTGACAATCACTAGTGGCATAGTGACAAACACCAGTGGAATAGTGATAGTCACACATGGCATTGTGGCAATCACCAGTGGGATAGTGACAATCACTAGTGGGATAGTGACAATTACAAGTGGTGTAGTGACAATCACCAGTGGTGTAGTGACAATCACCAGTGGCCTGGTGACAATCACAAGTGGTACAGTGACAAACGCTAGTTGCATAATGACAATCACCAGAGGGATAGTGAAAAACACCAGTGGGATAGTGAAAAACACTAGTGGTGTAGTGACAATCACTAGTGGTGTAGTGACAATCATTAGATGCATAGTGACAATTACAAGTGGTGTAGTGACAATCACCAGTGGTATATGTAGTGACAATCACCAGTGGCATAGTGGCAATCACTAGTGGCATAGTGACAATCACATATGGTAAAGTGACAATCACCAGTAGTATAGTGACAATCACCAGTAGTATAGTGACAACCACCAGTGGCATAGTAACAATCACATATGGTATAGTGACAATCACCAGTAGTATAGTGACAATCACCAGTGGTACAGTGACAAACACCCATGGTACAGTGATAATCACCAGTGGCATAGTGACATTCACCAGTGCCATAGTGACATTCCCCAGTGGTATAGTGACAATCACCAGTGGCATAGTGACAAACACCAATGGTATAGTGACAATCACCAGTAGTATAGTGACAATCACCAGTGGCATAGTGACATTCCCCAGTGGTATAGTGACAATCACCAGTGGCATAGTGACAATCACCAGTGGCATAGTGAAAATCACCAGTGGCATAGTGACAATCACCGTTGGGATAGCGACAATCACTAGTGGCATAGTGACAAACACCAGTGGCATAGTGACAATCACCGTTGGGATAGCGACAATCACTAGTGGCATAGTGACAAACACCAGTGGAATAGTGATAATCACCGGTGGCACAGTGACAATCACAATAGAACCAATCAGATTCCTGAAATGTATATTCCAAACAATAGGCAGATGTATAAACAGTTTTCATTGTGGTTGAGCTCTAATGTTGTCACAGGTATTTGAGATCGTTTACCCCACCCCCATGAATTTGTCAAATATTGTACAACCCTATTCAATTTAGATGGTCTACTCTTACACCCCCTCCGGTAGTAA